AATAATACTTTTTGTTTAAAAATCCCACCTTTGGATGTACCATACAATGATGTGAGATACTTTGACATAGACAAGGCTGCGTGGATCCCTGTTGGACAGTGCCATTGTGGTGATCAGGATCAGAGCAAGTATTAGAGATAGCTGAGCAACGGGAACATTTCTAAAACAAAAAAATTAGCTAGCTTGCTTATTTATTTGTTTAGGAAAATACCTTAACAGCCCACACACTGGTAGGATAACAGGGCCAGATAATTCCTTTAGTGACATCTTCAAAGCACATGCATACGGAGGCATTTACCTAAATCAAAAGATAGTCTTGGTAAAAAAGAGGATATAACTAGGTTAGTTTAAAAGCTTAAACATACTTCTAAAGGATTCCTATTAGGTACGCACTGTTCAGTATTTAGACAAGTGCATCTAACAAAAACTGGTATGTTTATTTTTGGTAGACAGCTCCTTGAAGTTCATGCTCGTCGATAGGAAAGTTCAAGGGGGAACGTTTCCTGCAAGAAAAAGTGGCTCATGTTCGCGAATTAAAGTTAGAACAATTATGCGCGTTGATTGTAGTTTTCTTTTAAAAGATTGACGTCAATTTAACTTTTTTTTCTTTTTAAAAAACACCTAAAGAACACTTGGCTTCTCCATCTTCATTGATCTTTATGTTTCGAGATAATTTAATAAGTTTCACAGTAATCTCAGCTTTATTTTAAGAAAAACTAAGGTATAACAGGCAGTCTCATTATGATTTTCCCAAGTATTGAAAATCTCATTTAACTAGTCCAAAAGAAAAAGAAGTATTGTTGCAAGCCTACTATTCAGATGCGACCTCGTGGGACTGTCTGGCACAAGTATGTTTCTGCACCTAACATCACCATAAGCAAGGTAAATACGGAAATTTGGGTTATTACACCAAACTCCTTCCTGTTAGTTAAACCCATATGTTTTAGAGACAAAATAGAGAAGTGGAGCACTAAAACTGATAGTTTCATCTACAAATTGGGAACGGGCGAAAGGGATAGAGAAACGCATATGTTATAGAGAAAAAATAGAGAAGTAGAACTTTGAAGCTGCTAATCTCATCTACACATTGGGAACGGGCGAAAGGGAATCTCCTAAAATACGTAACTTTACATCTCGTTCAATAAAATTCATATTTTGCACAAAGCTTTTTGAAATAATTCTTACTTCTGTCTGAGAAAATGTTTTCCGACTTGTCCTCCAATATCATTTTATCAAAGCTTCCCTCTTTAGTTGCCCACCTCGTAATGCGCTCAGATTCTTTTTGTGGCAGTATGCAGGACAGCGAAACAAACAAATAGAATCGTTTGCATTTGCATTTTCTCTTATAATGGTGATGTTATTAATTCAGACAGTCTACGAGATGCATGTCTGAGATAACATCATTTCGC